TTCAATTGGCTTATTTACCTTTATCTTGTGGTGCTCGAGTACAGATTGGAGGAAAATATTTGGTAACGACATGTCAGACAAGGCAGAGTTTTAAGTGGGTTACAGCTACAAAATGGAAGGAGTACTGCCTTTCACCAGAAGAAATCTAAATGCGAATATTGACTTTCTTTTTTCAAGTTTCCTATATGTTGTGAAGAAGAGTGGGAGGAAGGAGAGAGGAATAAAGTTGGTCATCAAATTTTACATTTCCTCATTCAATTTTGAAGGAAAAAGGGTTTCACTAGTCTGAAATTGATGAAACAAGTTGTACCTCTTGCTATGGTTGTTAGGTGTCATTGAACCGAATACAACTCATAGTGACTATGAACAACAGACCTGAACCTTGGCCTATACTGGGCGTTCTCATCATGTCTGATACGTGTGCGCCCCTTTCTGAAGGCGCTGTGTCAATCCAACTCATCGAGGTAGTCCTCACTTTTACTGACCCTCGATCTTTCCAAGCACAATGCTTCTCTCTAACCTTCAACCTACATGCCAGGATGAAGCTTCGGCATCTTTGACTGCAAGGAGAACTCTTAACTCTTGCTGCACATTTGGTTGGTTGGTTGGCTCGTTTATTGATTGATTGATTGGTTGATTTATGATTTGTGTTTGGGGATTTGTTGGTAGTTGTCTATTTTTCCTTTTTTTTAAAAAAAAAGAATAATCTATTGGCTTGCTCAAAAGTTTGTGAAATAGTGTTTCACACTATTCTTCATTCATATTATGTTTTATACAATCATTCCCATGCTTTACATTTTATAAAATCAGTCACCATTTATTTTTTATGAATTTTAATGAAAGTTTACAGAGACTTTCTATTTTCATTCATTCATTGTTACCCTTTTCTCCCTGCCCAACCTCCCCCCCCGCCCACTCCAGTTCACTCTTCTCTTTGAAAACTAAAAGAAAAATGCTTTCACTATTATACAATCCCTCCCTTCAATTCCATTCCCCTATGGAGCCTTTGTTCTGGACTCCTGTCATGACAATAATACCTAGTCATATATATCTCTCCCTCAATGCAGTATACATAATTAATCCCATCTTTCTCAGTCTCCCCCCAACCATAATGTCAGTCCTGTTTTACAACAGTGGCACTATGCAACATCTGTCCTTTTGTGACTGAGGTATTTCACTCAGCATAATGTCCTACAGGATCAACAATTTGTATAATATTTCATAAGTTCCTTGTTTTTCACTGCAGCATGGTATTCCATTGTGTGAATATACCAGAGCTTCTCTATCCATTCATTGGTTATGGGCACTTAGGTTGTCTCCAACTTTTTGCTATTATGAACAAAGCCGCAATAAACATGAGTGTGCATATATCTGTTTGGGTGGCAGTTATCGTTTCTTTGGGGTATATTCCCAGTAGAGGAATTGCTGGGTCAAATGCTTTTTATATTTGCAACTTTTTGAGAAAGCACCATACAGCCTTCCATAGTGGTTGTACCATTTTACACTCCTACCAACAGTGAATAAGGGGTCCAGTTTTCTGTAACCGTGCCAGCATTTGTTGTTTGCTGTTCTGTTAAATTTTGCTGTTCTTACTGGGGTGAGATGATACTTCATAGTTGTTTTGAGTCACCATTATTTTAAAGACATATCTATTTGTTCTTCTGACAGTCCATGGGGTATATGTAGTCTTCTCCAACACCTCACCTCAAATACATCAATTCTTCACCTGTTATCCTTATTCATGGTCCAACTCTCAAATGCATAGCAAATAATGGAAAAGTCCATGGCCTGAACCAGACATACTTCAGTCTTTAAACTGACATCACTGCTCTTCTATACAATGGAGAGATCCCTGACAGCAGACTTTTCCAATACAACACGTCTCCTGATCTTGCTGTAGGTACCAAGTGTGTTGATTTTTGACTCACCATAGTAAAAATACAATTATTTTTACAATCAAATTAAATAATTATCCAACCAGAATGATACAATCACGATTTATGAATTGTGTCAGGAAGTATGAGGATGGCATAGGACAGGACCATGATCAGATCTGTTGTTCATAGGGTCACTGTGCGTCATACTCAATTTGATGGCACCCAACAACAGCAGTATAATAATATAGGGTTTTTACTAAGTTATCATGTTTCATGAGGTTTAGTGTGAATTTTAAGAAGAGGTTATAACTTGGGACATTCTTTTTTTCATGTTACTCTTGCATGCCACCTTGTGAGCAAGAAAAGGTAGTTTACACTGTTTTCCTGATAAGAATTATGTCTAAATTTTGGCCACCAAAGCAATTCCTTTTATGTTATGTTGATAATATATCGGTTAAGGAGCCTTAGTAATGCAATGGTTAGTTCCTCAACTGTCAACTGAAAGGTGAGGTTCAAACTCACTAGCTGCTCTGTGGGAGAAAGGTGTGGTGATCAGCTTTCATAAAGATTTTCAGGAAACCCTGTTGGACAGTTCAACTCCATCGTTTAGGGTTGCTATGAATCTGAATCTATCAGACAGCATACAACAATGTATTCTTTACTGAATTCTTTGTTTAGAGAAATTATTTACTAGGCTGATTTACCACAAATGTAGTCAGGAAGAAAATAGAAGTTAAAAAAAACAAACTTCTGTTGCAATAATTAGCAAGCTGTATCTATATAAACTGAGAAATAAATTCACACTGAATGTCTGGTAAGAGATCCTGCTCTTCAGCCTTCTCTACTGGAAGCTATTGGGGGAACAACAACCACCACAAACCCCCAACTGCAGATATTTAAAAGAAAGCATAGGCAAAGTTTTACATTTTTTTATTTGTTGAATTTGTTATTGTTGTCAGTTGCCCTGCCAAGTAGACATTTCAGTAGGTAGTAAATATTTGTTGGGCATTTATTGAATCAGTTCTAAAACTGCTTCTGATATTTGAACTTGTCCAGGGAGTTTGAGAAACTATTATTGTTCTCAGAACTAGTATTGAATGTTTATTGATACTGTAGAAAGTTAGTAGAAACATACATCAAAGCAATAAGAGTTTATCAAACTACTCCGATTTACTGTTGAGTTTCCAAATCCTCAGGGCTGAAATAGAGACTCATTATTGTTAGAGGTTTGGAGTTAATAATTCACTGGAGTAACAGACACATGGCATTCAGCTCACAGAGCCTTGAGGCACTTAATTAGGAGTTTACAAAACAGTTAAGAGTGCAGGAGCACAGAGCAAGTGGAGAAAAGCAGCATTTGTTTATATTCTTCGTAAAGATGTTAAAATATCAATATTGTAAGGCTAAAAAACTTCAGTACACAATAACAATATACATTTCAATTGTTTAAAAAGGATGAAAAAAATTACAGTATCATCCATATAAAAAAAGAATGTTGACTATTGCTAAACAAATGATTTTATCATGTATTTAAATGCATATTTTAAATGATAAATTTATCATTGATTTAAATAAATATTTTATCAATGACTAGCAAAAAATATCATCTATTCCTGCGAAGTTAATAATATTTTGACTAATTTTATTTATTTTTTTAAAAAATTATACGTATAATGGTGGTCTATGGAAGTTTGGGTGGCCTAGTGGTAAGAAGCTGTGCTATCAACCTGAAGGCCTGAGATTCAAATCTGCTAATTGCCCTGTGAGAGAAAAATGGGCAGTCTTCTTCCTCGTGATTAACTGGCTCTGAAACACCACTGGAAAGCCACCTATGGGAGAGTACTTATTCCAAGTTTCATAGTAACAACAGTGGTAAAGAATTGTGCTGTCAACCCAAAGGTAGTCAGTTTGAATCTACTAGTTGTACCATAGGAGAAAGATGGGCTATCTCATCCCATGTGATGTACAACCTCTGGAACACTGTTGGAGAGTCAGCTATGAGCTATCTTGATGACAGATTACAACATTTTAAAGTATATATACACAAGTATGAATATATACATATATGTCCTTGGATTACTGCTACTAAGCCCTAAAAAACAATCAACAGAAAACCCAATAAGGACAAAAGTAAATTTTCTGCCTATGTCATTGCATGCTTACTTAATCTAGAACTGTGACTATAAATTTCTTGCTCTTATCAGAAGTAATGGTATTTTATGAAACATTTTATTGACAATAAATCTTTATGAAAGAAACTAATAAGCAATAACCTTCAAAGCATTAAAATTTGGTCTTGTCCATTGTACCAAGTCTATGAATCCATGAATAAAAGCATATAAAGCTTTTATAAAGTTATTACATTTATATAAACTGAAAATATTATAAATGTAAAACTATAAGCACAAATGCAAAACACCTGCAATAGTTTTGAGATTCAATATATTTATAGCTACACTTTATGCTGTGATATCTAGGAACTACTCTATATATTAAATAATTATATTAAAATTAATCGAGGAATTCAAAGCAAGGCAATTAATGTGAAGAGTAGTGTGGTAAGAGGGGCAGAAGAAAAGAAGCCTTTAAACATTCCTGTGTTGTGTAGAATTCTAAAAGACATAAATTGTGCTCTTTTTCCGAGGAGTCAAGTTACTGTCTTCATAGTTTATTCCATCTAACTGAAGAATGTATAAATGGTTTATTGAACAACTGAGCAATTTAAAAACACACAAAAGAATAAGCACAGAAGAGATGCTCTTTAGAACCAACACTTCAAAGCCAAACAGCTTAGAAACAAATTATAGCATAACAAGGCACAATGCATACAGTAATCAATACCAAAATATCTAAGAAAGAATGAAAATAACATTTAAGAGTATTTTTAAAAAACCATTCAATAGCATTATTTTCCCTAAGTTGCCTTAAAGTACAGTTGTTGTTGTTGGTTTTTTGTTTTGGTTTGGTTTGGTCTTTCTCTGACTCATTACCAAAGATATATTTATAACCGAACAGTCATTTTCTCTTCCTATTAAACACAATTTGGCAAATTATATTCTTAAAGGAATTGATCATCAACATCACACTCACATGGTGATTAGTCTAAGGGCTTTGATTACTCACCATTTTTCCCCCACAACTTCTTTGATTTCATTTTCTGAGCTCTCTTCAGCATTTGCTGAGCAGTAGAAATATCCTTAAAGCCCCTATTAAAAGATTACATTTAATAAATGCAAACCAAATATATATACATATAAATTATATGAAGCTACATTTTGCTGTCTCTTAAAAGAGATTAATCTGAGAATTAGTTTCTTAAAAATTAATAGAGGTATTCTTGAAATTTAAAAAAATATATGAGACTCTCAGTTTACTTTTTAGTGTAAAAGAGATCACATACCATTCTTCTGAAATCTGTTTTTCTTTTTCAGATTTTAGCAAACTTTTTCTACTGGTCTTTGATTCAGGTGTCCAAGACGGAGTTCTATTTTCTAGTCTGGCAATAGGGAAGAAACCTCAGCTTTAATTGTATCAACACAACTATATTAGCACGTTTTTAAAACTACATGCTGTTTATGTGTATTAAGCAGGGAAATAAAATCCATTTAAGTTACAGAAAAAAAATCTTTATCTTGAAAAGTAATAAAAGTCTGCCATTAATTTTAAATGTTTACATTTCAATTACTTAAAGCATATTTCAATTCTTTTATCAAAAGGAATGCAGCACATTTTTATTTAATCCTTATCTCTTCCAGCACAGCAAGATTTCAGTCTCCTTTTTTTACATTACATTATTTCACTGACATTTAGAATTTTCAGTTGCTTTACTGTGCCTTTACCTGTTACCTTTTTCTTACGTTTAGAATGACATAAACTCATTCTGATTCTTTTTCATCATTAAATGTTCTTGCACCTTCTACACAAGTTAATTCATACTGAATTTCATCATTTCATTATAAACTTTTATAATGAATATAATATTCTTGTTATTTATCAGTAGATCTTCCAAAAGAAGAAGTTACCTTACCTGCTATTCAACTGAGTGGGTTCTGGTGAGGACATATTTTCTTTCTCATTGCATACCCATGCTTGAGCTGGATGACTTAGTAAATTAAGTGTGGTGTCATCATATTTGAAGGCTTGAGAGTGCTTATCAGGAAGAAAATACAGGGTAAGTAAATATAAGGTAAATTTAAAAAAATTCTAGCCTTTATATTATGTTACTTTACCAAATAGCTTGCTTCTTCAAGGGATAGTCATAAAAATTTAAAATAGTAATAAAATTAAATTCAAGATATATATACATAACGGCCTTTGATGTAGAGGCAAGAGAGATACTTTTTTGGTATGGTTTGCATATACAAAATGATTAATTGTGAAGATTAAAAAAAATCTTGGAAAACAAAAACTTCAAAGATTATCAAATAAATAACAGATATTGCAGTTCCTTGACCTCTGACTGAAAATCTTCAGCTGTTGCCCTCTTAATGCATCTTTTTGTTATTTTAAAAGTGCTGTCAACCAGTGATTTTAGTCCACTGCCAAACAGGCAGCTGAAGCACATCATTTTCTTTTTTTTGCTACTGTGAAATAAAGTGTTGAAAGAAATCCAAAATAAAGAAAAAAATTAGAAGCAAATGAAAGAAAAGCTACATGAAAAATTACATCTGGGGATGCGGAAGATGTCAGAGGTTCCTAAAGTAATTGTGCTTTTCAAGTCAATAAATCGCATTATTAATCACTGCAGCATAGCATAACCCTAAGAAATGAGCAAAGATCGAGCACTAAGAAGTTTCTGTGACATGTTACCTTTGGCCAGTGCAGCTGGTTTGGTGGAAGCTGTGTTTGTGAAGGGAAGCAAGAGGAATGTAAAGCTGGCCATTCTTTCTCTAAGGCAGCCTGCACAAATAATGACATGAAAAGGTACACAACTCAGTGTCCGTCATTTCCACAGAATACTTTTCAAATTGTTGTATTTACTGCAGACATTAAGAGATTATATCTGAATTTCTATTTACAAAAAATTACTCTTTGCAATTGCAATTGTAAGATGCTATGTATTTCTTTAATGCACATGTATTTAAAAACTGGGATGACTTTCTATCCCAAAAGCTGGATAAAAGAACTCGAGTGCCGTGAAAAATACATGATGGAAATTTTATAACTTCGTGATCAGTATACAGTATATTTTACTGTTTGACTCTGAGGCAACTCTCAACATAGCCGATAAACATATTTTCTCTCTGCAAAAAATACAAGTAAAACTCATTATTAAAATATTTTTGTCCACTAGGTTGTAATAGCTTTTCTATAAGAATTTATTAGATGTTTCCTTCGATTTTTAGAATTTTCACAACTTTTCTGAATTGAAAATGGTTTATAGCAATAAATAAAACATCATTAAAACCAGGATTCCTTATGTCATCTCATGTTTTAAATTCAACTGTTTAAGTAAAAGTACATGTTTAAATTTTAAATTACATTTTAAATAATCTTTTCTACATTTAAAACATCTTCCATTCATTTATGGGCATTCCAATTTTATGCTTGGTAGGGTGGAGAGACAGCACAGGAGGGGAAGACCCTCTATGAGGTGGACTGATTCAGTGACTGCGGTAATTGGGATGGGTGTGTCAGAGACAGTGCAACTGGCACAGGATAGAGCAGAGTTTAGGGCTGTTGTACATAGGGTCGCTATGAGTCACAAGTGGCACATAGCAACAACAACAACATATTGCACTGCAATGCAACTCTACTAGCTATAACTCTATAATTTAAAAAATAGTAATATAAATTTTTCCTTGGATTATCTGACATTGCTGTCATAAACATCTATAATTTTATAATATTCTTTGAATATAATAAAAAGATAATCATAATATTATTCACCTAATTTTAAAATAGAGTCTAAAGTGATAAAACTCATATATTATATAAGCACTAACACCATTACAGTCTGAGATAATACATTTTTCCATTTGCACAGTTTCAGTGATTACTGCTTTTTGACAACTTTTTGGAGAGTAATTTAAAAAGGTAAGATTAATACATCTTGATTACAGTTCTATGACCAAGCATTTACTCTGGAAATTTAACAGTTGTTGTTGTTGTTGTTATGTGCCGTCGAGTCACGTACAACTCTTAGCAACCCTATGTACAACAGGCCTAAACTCTGCTCTGTCCTGTGCCAATCACACTGTCTCTGACACTCCCATTCCCCAGTCACTGAATCAATCCACCTCACAGAGGGCCTTCCCCTATTGCGCTGTCCCTCCACCCTCCCAAGCATGATGTCCCTCTCTAAGGACGGGTTTCTCCTTACAACATGTCCCAAGTATGTTAGAGGGAGCCTCAGAATCCTTGCCTCCAAGAAGCCGCCTGGTTTAACACTTTCCAGGATGAATCTGTTTGTTTTCCTAGCAGTCCATGGTACTCTCAATACTCTTCTCCAGCACCACGGTTCATTTAACTACTCATTTAAAATATAGAAGTATTCTATACAAAATAGGACACTTCTATTCAGTGGTTTGGAACACTTCCAGATTCTTTCTAGGCACAGATTATTAGCTACATTAGACCTGAAATGAGAAGAAAGTGTAAGTACTTCGAAAATCATAGAGTTTTAAAGAACAACATTTTGAGCATTTAAAAAGAAGTTGTGAAAAAAAAAATGGTCCCAATTAAGTAATTTATTCATTTATAATGTACATTAAGAAGTCTTGGGAGAGTAGTGGGCTAAACTTTGGGCTGCTAACTAAAAGACTGATAGTTCAAATCTGCTAGGCATCTCAAGGGAGAGAGATGAGATAGCTTCCATTAAATTTTATAGCCTTATAATCTCGAAGGGACTACCCTTTTCCACAGGGATGCCATGAGTTGAAATCAACTTGATGCCAGGAAGTGTTTTCTATATAACGCATATACTAAAAAATTTAGTTTAGTATTGATACTGCTCTAGGGTATAGACTGATATTTAATGCAAAATTTTTAACACTCTTCAGAGCTCAGGTATTTTCATTCTTTCTTTTGTCTGATAAAAGAAAGAACAATGCAGCTCAACTCAAGGGAAGATAAAGGTCAGTGAAACCCATCTTTGTGATCTGATGAAAAGTATTAATTACAATGAAGAGATGAAGAAGCAATATCCCAAAAGTCAATATGCCATCTGAGAGGATCAGCCTTGCCAGATAAAGATCCTAATTGTTTTTACGTTGATTTTATACAGACAAATTTATTGTTTCTTTTTCTTCAATACCTGTCAAATGATCTTCTGATACTCTCTGATATTGCAGCTGCCTTTCCTTTGCAGGACGTTCCACAGATCATGTTAATGGAGTTCTCTTTTTATGAAAAGTCACATCAAGTCTAGGGCAAATTTTTGTTTGATATCTAAAAATGTATAAAACCTTAAAATAGTTTTTATTGGTTTGAACAAAAGGTCAAAAACTTTTATGAGTTTCTAAACCATTTTTTCAGACCATTTCTCTTTGAAATTTCTAGAAATATTTAGGGGAAGTTTAGTATAAAAAGTTAAGGATGCTTTTAGTAATTATAAATCACAACAAAAATATTACTAAGATCACTGATTTATATGAGTTCAAAGTTATTAAAATCAAGTATATTTGGCAGTACCTAGAATGTTGAAGAAAAAAAACCCCTCAAAATGTCAGAAGCAAGAGTTATAAATATATCATGATTATTTTAAATGCACGTTAATATATCATGCTTACCCCTGAATACTCATACAAATTTCAGTTACTGCTCAAGAAAATCCTCTGTTCTTATTTTCTGCAACTTACAACTCAGGATCTCGAAGACGTCTGTTTATTATAGCAACTATTTCATATTTACTTATAGAATGAAGTTACATTTGAACTTGGGTAGATTTGTAACTGTGTATTGAACAGATGAACATTTGATCAGATTTGGCTCTTGAGCAGAAAATAAATCACTGTATTTCAATCTAACGTGGACTGGATAGTAAATCTATTAATAAGAGAAATCACATATAACATCTTTATATGTATGTGCAAAAAATTTTCATGCCATTTAAAAGAATCTATTTAATCTGATTTGCTCTAAACCGTAAGCTGGATCTTGCCCACCTTAAAATAATGTGATTTTGAAATTTTTTACTTTATATTAGTTTGCTTACAAAGATCCTATACATTGTATTTCACAAAATTCTTCTTAGACATTATGTTTCATACAATCATTCCCATGCATTATATTTTATAAAATTAATCACCATTGGACTATAACCATCATTACCCTGTCTTTTCAGGTTCCCCCTGGATCTTTCCCATTTCCTTTACCTCTTCTCTCCACCCACCAAACTATGCAACCCTGTGATTTTTGCCCCTACACATCCCACCTCTTCCCTCCGTGGGTCCTATACATGTTTTACCAGTAATCCTTCTACTTTTACAATAATGATCTTATGCAGTATTTGTCCTATGAGACTGAGTTAGTTCACTTAATATAATGTTCTCTAGTCTCTCCCAAGTTATGTACTCTTTTCAAAATCGTTTCTGAGTGTTGCATAGTATTCCAACGTGTGAATGAACCACAGTTTCTCATTTCATTCATTTGTGGTTGGCCATGAGCTGTTCTTGTGACGGTGACTAATGCTGCTATGAACAATGGTGTACAAATCTCCATTTCTATCTCAGTTCTAATCTCTTTAAGGTATATTCCTAGTAGTGGAATAGCTGAGTCATACAGAGTTTTTATGTTCAACATTTTGAGGAAAGGCCAAACTGCCTTCTGGAGTGGTTGTATCATTTTACACTCTCACCAAAAGTGTATGAGAGATCCCACCTCTCCCCCACTTTTTATTATAGGTGCTTGATATTTAAAGGCATTAAAATGACCATTTAAAATATTGTCACAATATGTGTAGAAATATGAGGTACTCAAGGAGAATGTCATTGTAAGGTACTATATTTCTCTATGGTACAAAAATGCACTGTCCTATCTAACTACATAGAATGTGTGGGATACCTGTACTTGAATGCTGGAGTTTGGAAAAGTTCACTGTGAAGGAGGGAGTTAAAGTGGTTTTGAGAATAGTGCCTTTTCATGACTATATTTTTTGTATTTACATCTGAATAAATAGCAGAAATTAATGGGTAATAAGCTTCACTTTATCATGTGACAGGATTAATTATTCCAAGAGAAGAAACTCCTCTGTCATTTGTACTGTTTTAAATATTAACTCCTCTACTTTTTAAAAATGTACTTTTAATGAAAGTTTACAGAGGCTTAGAATTTCCTTTCATTCATTGTTGCAATTTTTTCCCTGCCCAACATCCCCTCCCCAGTTCATTCTTCTCTTTGAAAACTAAAAGAAAAATTCTTTCATTGTTTTACAATCCCTCCCCCCAAGTCCACTCCATGATGCAGTCTTCTTTCTGGACTCCTGTCATGACAATAATACCTAATCATATACACCTTTTAAACAGTTCTCTCTCTCATCTGTTTCAATGCAGTATACATAATTTATCCCATCTTTCTCAGTCTGCCCCCCAACCCCTATATCAGTCCCATTTTACAACAGTGGCACTATGCAATATCTGTTCTTTTGTGACTGAGCTATTTCATTCAGCATAATGTCCTCCAGGGCCATCCATTTTGAAGAATATTTCATGAGTTCCTTGTTTTTCAATGCACCGTAGTATTCCATTGTGTGAATAGACCACAGTTTCTCTATCCACTCATTTGTTGATGGGCACTTAGGTTGTTTCTTACTTTTTGCTATTATGAACAAAGCTGTGATAAACATGGGTGTACATATATATGCTTGGGTGGTGGTCATGGTTTCTTTGGGGTATAATCCCAGTAGTGGAATTACTGGGTCAAATGGTATTTCTGTTTGCAACTTTTTGAGAAAGCACATA